AGATTTAAAGGATGCATATTTCCATATATCAATAGCCCCACAACATCGTAGATATCTTTCGTTTATGGTAGGAAATAATGCTTTTTGTTTTAACATTCTTCCCTTTGGCCTTTTGACGGCACCACGTGTTTTCACGAAATGTATGTCGGTAGTGGCTGCATGTCTTCGAACAAAGGGAATAACCGTCTACCCATATATTGACGACTGGCTGGTAGTGGCTAGATCATGCAGGCAGTTGCAGGACCAAGTATCTACCATTTTGTTTCTTCTCCAGTCGTTGGGCCTCGTAGTCAACAGGAAGAAGTCGGTCCTAACACCCACCCGCAAAATCCAGTTCATCGGCGCTCTGTTGGACTCCGTTTCCGAGAAAGCGTTTCTTCCAAAGGACAGGTTTGCCAACCTAAAAGTTCTAGTCAAACAAACAAGGACCTCCTCTTGCATTTCGGCAAGACAGATCCAGACACTTTTAGGTCACATGGCAGCCACTACTTCAGTCAACCATTATGCGAGACTCAGAATGAGAATCCTCCAGTCATGGTTCCTGTCAGTATTCGACCCGTTGACGAGCAGTCCAGAGTTGAAACTCTCCCTCCTGTCTGTGGTCCGCGACTCACTAATATGTTGGGAGAACGAGGCATGGGTCTGCTCGGGGTTCCAATTCCACCATTTGTACCCTACCAGAGTCATCATTACGGACTCCTCCCTTACGGGATGGAGTGCGCACTCCCAGGGACTCATTGCACACGGTGTATGGTCAGGGCAGGAAAGAAACATGCACATAAACATTCTAGAACTACTCGCAGTAGAAAGGGCTCTACACTCCTTCGAAAAGGTCATACTAGGTCAGGTGGTTCAAATTGTTACGGACAACACGACAGTAATGTTTTACTTGAACAAGCAGGGAGGTACACATTTGAAGGACCTACTATCTCTATCAATACAGATTTGGGACTGGTGCATAGAAAGGGGTATACATCTCTTAGCGAGCCATCTCCCAGGGGAACAGAACACACTCGCAGACGCACTAAGCAGAAACCCACTAGTGCACCACGAGTGGTCGCTACATTCACAAGAAGCACACAGACTGTTCCTAGCGTGGGGATTCCCAGAAGTGGATTTATTTGCAACGAAGGCCAATTCCAAATGCCCTCTGTATTGCGCTCGACAACGGGCCCATCCAGAGAGTGGGTGTTTGGGGGATGCCTTTCTGATGAGGTGGTCAGGGCGCCTATTGTACGCTTTCCCGCCAATACCCCTCCTGATGAGGGTCATAGCAAAGATTCAGGAAGGCAGTGCCAGGTGTATAGTGATAACGCCATGGTGGCCAAGGCAGCCATGGTTTTCTCTTCTCCACCAGATGGCCAGAGGGGCGTTTGTCCGACTACCGTGCAGGACAGATCTTCTGTCCTCACAGGAGGGTCAGGTTTTACACCCGGAGGTGGACAAGTTGAAATTGACCGCGTGGCAGGTACTCCCGGACCACTAGCGACTTTATCTAAATTGCCACAATCAGTATTGAAGTTTATCGAGGCGGCGCATAGAACGTCTACACGACGCTCTTACATCTACAAATGGACACGTTACTCCAAGTATTGTAAGGGGAGACAGCTGGATCCAATGGAAGCCCCTATTTCTGTGGTGTTAGAGTTTTTAGTTTCTCTGTTAGAGGCAGGCCTATCACATTCCTCCCTCAAATGTTACCTAGCCGCGATATCGTGGTTTAGGAGAAAACGTGGGTACCCCTCCTGTTTCACAGATCCAATGGTTAAGACATTCATGAGGGGCGTAGCTAACGTAAGGCCGTCTGTAGCTCCAGTACCCCCAGGTTGGAACCTGGACATCGTTCTGTCAAGATTAGTAAAACCTCCTTTTGAGCCTATGGCAACTATAGACCTTTCTTACCTCTCCTGGAAAACGGCGTTTCTAGTAGCTATTACCTCAGCACGCCGGGCTAGCGAACTGAATGCATTGAGGGTAGATCCCCCGTACCTGAGATTCCATAGGGATAAAGCAGTGCTTCGCACAGATGTTGCCTTCTTGCCTAAAGTATCTTCACGTTTCCATATGTCGCAAGACGTAGTACTTCCAGCATTCTATCAGAATCCCACATCACATGTTGAGAAGAGTTTGCACTTCTTAGATGTCCGTAGGGCTCTGGCTTTTTATGTAGATAGGACGTCCTCCTTTCGACAGACCCCTAGGCTGTTTGTGAAATACCGTAAGGACGCTCAGGGCATGCAACTATCCTCCCAGAGATTGTCTGGGTGGATAGTATCTCTAATCCGGCTGTGTTACCGTTTAGCCGGGAAAGATTTGCCTCAGCAGGTCAAGGGCCATTCCACGAGGTCGATGTCCACGTCGGCGGCTTTCCTGAAAGGTGTTTCGTTGGATGCGATTTGCCGAGCAGCGATATGGTCGTCACCACTGTCGTTCGTGACCCATTATAAGCTTGACGTGGTTTCCAGGAAGGACACAGAATTCGGCAGAGCTGTCCTGTTTTCGGCTGTGGCATGACTCCCACCATCCACGGTCAGTTGCTCGCTAATCTACCATATGTGCGATTCACAGGATTTACGACAGGAAATTATAAGTTGCTTACCTGTAACTGTAGTTTCCTGAGTAGAATCCTGTGAATACGCACATCACCCGCCCTCCTCCCCTTGAAGGTCATGCCATCTCTACTGCTTTCTAGCGGAAGAGAACTGAGTAACGGCCACTGCCCCGGGCTATATATAGGATAGGGGAGGGGGGCGCGTGGCCAGAGGGAGTCTAAACGGTCATTTTACTTTCCAGAAGGTTCCGATCGCTGAGCTGCGCAGGCGCAGAGTTACCATATGTGCGTATTCACAGGATTCTACTCAGGAAACTACAGTTACAGGTAAGCAACTTATAATTGTACCTTGTGGGTTGTGTTATGGGCATGGGAATTTTGGTTAAGTTTCGTTGGGGCGTTGTGGAGTTTTGCTGTCCCGTTGAACCAACCTAACAGATTTATATATATAGATAACAACAATAACAACTTTATTTATATCCTGCCACCATTTCCCAAAAGGGACTTGAGGTGGCTTACAAAAGCCCGAATATACAAAGTACAGTAAAATACATTTATAACATAATAACAATGTCAATCAAAATAAAACAGATATACATAAAACAGTATAGAAAAGCCCCTACTAATTTAGATAAAATACTTGATAAAATGCATCCATAGCTGCAGATTAAAATAGGCTGTATCAATTTCAGTCGCATTAAAGTGCCGGAGTCAAACAACTCGCTTGGTCCTCAAGTTTTAACTGATGTTTTAACCATGTTTGAAGGCCTGCTTGAAGAGCCATGTTTTCAAGTTTTTCTGAAAACATTGGAGTGTGCAGGCTAGCCTAATTATTTATTTCATTGTCTACATGAAGTCAGTGGAATGTAGAAATGCTGTCTGTAACTGAGGATTTGGCCTACTAAGGGGTCTGGGTGACAAAAATAACATTGATTTTTGCTTTAATTTTAGAGTTATGAAGATTATTGCCTTAAAATGACTATTTCTCTAACATGTGAGGAATGGGAATTTGTGAGTGGAAATCCAGACTAACCACATCTTAGATGTGAAATCTTAATAGTGTATTACACTGCTGAAACTTAGCTTTTGTCAGCATAGTCCTTCAGCCTCTAATAAGGACTGCATGGTAGGATAACTACATAATTTGTTCTTGTTGTGTGCCTTCAAGTCTTTTCCAACCTATGGTGATCCTAAGGCAAACCTTTCACAGGGTTTTCTTGGCAAGATTTGTGCAGAAGTTTGCCATTGCCTTCCTCTGAAGCTGAGAGACAATGACTTGGCCAAGGTTACCCAGTGAGTTTCATGGCTGAGCAGACATTTGAACTATGTTGGAACATGACTCCAGAATCATAGTCCAACACTCAAACTACTATGCTACATAGTACTCTTTGAAATGGTGTTCCACAAGACCAGCCCATAAGCTGCCAGTTTGCAGTGAGTCTTTAGGAAACTATGGAAATACAACAACAATAATATGGTATATATGGGACTGGTCCTTGGCATATAGAAGGGAAAAAAATACCATCAGATGTCTTGGAAGTCATTTTTTCAGCACAGAATGGGGTCACAAGCAGTGGATGGCATTGCAGCATTGTTTTAAGACAGGTCTGTACAACTTGTAGTTTTCCAGGTGTTTTAGCCTCCAACTTCCAGAAGCCCTAGTTAGCTTTTCCAATAATCAGGAATTCTAGAGCCAAAGTCCTAAACACCTGAAGGACCATAAGTTCTGCAGGCATTTTTAAGCCATTCTTTCAGTCAAATCTGCCATTAAAATGTAATATATGTGAACACTATTGGAGGACTTTGATAAACCTCTTTCTCCAATGATCTGTTAGCATTCATTCAAGGAGAAATATTTCTGTAAATTTTCAAGAAATTCCAACGAGACTTCAAATTTAGTAGACAAGTATATGGCCCAGCTAGGTGTCAAAGTCACCCAAGGGCTGAGAAAAGCGGTATATAAATGAAGTAAATAAATAAATAAATAAATAAAGTCATGCTGGCCACATGACTTTGGAGGTGTCTACGGGCAACGCAGGCTCTTTGGCTTAGAAATGGAGATGAGCACCAATCCCGAGTTGGATACTACTGGACTCAATGTCAAGGGAAAACCTTTACCTTTACTAGGTGTCAAAGTATTTATCTTGAGTGGTAACAGACACTTCCGTTTTTCTCGAAACATGTTTACCATTTCAGTAAATAGCTGTTGGAGGGAACTATCCCAGTATCACAAACATCCCAGAAGAAGAAGTTTGAGCAAGATAACAACCAAAAGGAATGTTATACAAAAACATACAGGAGCAGAGATAGTGAGGCACACAGAATAATCCCTGCCAAAATATAGGCAAAAACTGGGTTCAGTTCTGTGTAGATTCTAATTGTTAAGATATAACATACACTTTTATTGTAATGCAAGCAACTTTGTGAATTGTGTGTTTCTTTCACTCAGGCTGCCTTGACTCTTCCACAAAGACCATTCCTTCACTGTTCTACTGTGATCCCCGTTGTGTGTCTGACGTTAAAATTTATTATGCATCTCTTGAAGCTGAAGGATTCTTGGTGCTTTCTTCCCTGGATGCTGTTTATCTCCTGGACTTCACATCATGTTCGAGATGGAATTCGCCATGGTCTGTGGATCTGCCCATTTGGAAAGACTGTTCCTCTGCCTTATTGGCTTTATGTGGCAATCACAGCATCTTTACCTCATCTGTGTTCTTTTATTATGTATTTAACAGGGGCAAGGGAACTAATGTCGATAAAACATGGGATTCATATCGATGTTTAAGGATGGTTGTGGTTGTGTCACCAAATAATTCACTTGTGATATAAACTGATGTCACAAAGCTTTATATAGCAGAAGTATTGATTCCTTGAGGCCAGTGTTGCACAAGGTAATGTAATCCACTGATGTCTTAAGTTGTTATTTTATCAGTGTCTCCTATAGACATTTTTCTTTCTTTTTATTCAAAAATTGGTTAAGTATTAAAAAGGATGAACATCAGGAAGCAGTTGAAATATGTTACCCCTTCTCTGCTTCTTTATTAGAAGAATGAAAGAGTCATAGACTGGAAACAGAAAAATGTTATGGGCCATTTAGGGCAGCATTTTTCCTGGGAAACAAAGAAGACTATTGTGGGCGTCCTCCTCTTCAGTTCCAATTTATTTATTAAAGCCTTCCTCTTCTTTCTCCTCTACTATAACTCCTTTACTCCATGTCATTTTCTGTTCTGAGATTTCTGTCTCTACGCCTTGTGCTTTCTTTAATTCACTGTTATATGTACTGATCTGTTCAGTTAAAGAATCCTTAAAACGCTGCTAAAAACCAATACATGTGTAATAATATATATTACTTAGAATTGCATTTTAATTGTATTTATTATGTTTTAATGGTATTTTTAACCAAACACCAAGTACGATTTAATTGTTCTTTTTATTTTTATATTCACTTTATTTTAAATGAATCATTGTGTGTAATTGTTAGCTGCCTTGTATTTCCTCATGGAGAAAGCTGGGGGTTATCTATAAAGGTAATAATAATACCCAAAAGTGGTGATATACCACTTTATATGATTTACACTTTGTTTAGGTTTGGGATCAACAACTGGATGCTTCAAAGCCACAGCTCAGCTTCCCATAGAGCATTCCCTAATCCTTCATTGCCACATTGAGAGACCAAGTGTTATGTTTACGGTTTGCGGAGATCTTCTGTTTGTACAGTTTAACATATTTAGAAGATTGCCTTATCTCTAAAGGTAAGAGCTTGGGACAGATTGCAAAAGGAGTGAAGCAAACTCCTGATTGTGTTAAAATGCTGCTTGTGGTAAAAGTGATTGATATATTTCTTTAAGGGTTTACACTGACATAAAAAAATGAACAGTTCTGGAAAGGTATTGTGGGCTCGGCGTCATGTAAGCCGCATCGAGTCCCTTGGGAGATGGTAGCGGGGTATAAAAAAAGATTATTATTATTATTATTATTATTATTATTATTATTATTATTGGCAGCTCAAAAGATTTTCCAGTTACTGTACATGTATTCTTGTTCTGTTTTAATTTGCTAACTGAAGTGAATTTTAATATTCTTTCTGCTTTGCAGAAGGATACTTAACTGCTATTTTATTTTATTGCAACACGTTAGATTAATGATTTTCTAATAGAAATACTGGTGCATGTAAAAATAGTGACAAGTTTGTGGAAATGGAATTAATTCAAGGTAAGTTTCTCATTATTGGTAACTTTCTGTAAGAGCACTTTTAAATCAAAACTACTGATGGAATCCAATTTCTTGATTTTTGAAGATCTTAAACAAATCATTCTCAAATTTGCCTTAGTGGCTGAATCTTTTACATAATAGTGTCTGTTAAATGTAGGTGACTGTAGAATAGTATTGTATGGTCATGGTAACAAGAAGGCTTTTCATTCTTCATGCATTTTACAGCTGCTTTTAACAACATAATTGTGACTAAAATAGAGCTAATTGTCCCCCGCATCTTAAAATAGAGATGGGGGTGTTTGTTTGGTTATCATGTTAAGCCAAGCAGTGGTTGTATTCCCAAATTGGGAGAATTTTAAAATGGAACAAAATGCAGATAGGCCGTAAGTTCCATACTGGAAATGATTATACAGTAGTTATGATGTAAACAATAAAGAGACTACATTTGTACACTTGCACACTTCAGAACTAGAGGAAAAAAGATAATGGGCGACATCCATGGATGAGCATATGGCCACGACTGTTTGTACTTTACATTTTGTTGCACAAAAAACTATTGAAAATAGTTGTCTATGGTCCAGTGCCAGTCTGCAAACTGGCTGCTGTAGCACAGAGGGTATCCAGGGAGTGGGAAGAAACAGTTGTATTCAGTGGGCACAAATATGGTATTGATACCAGGCACATTAGGGGGAAATTCTGGTCCTCACATCAAATAAGGGCCTTAACATCCAGTCCATTATTCTTTTTCATAAATGGAAGTCTAAATGTGGGACAAAAGGTAATAGCCATATCTCACAGTTGTTCCCCTTCGGAGACATGATATATTGGGACCTTGAGGTACCATTTGCAGGGCAAAATTATGGATGGTGTAGTGGCAGCGAGAGTTGAGCAGCTTGGTGCTTCTTTTATTTTCTTTTTATAAAAAAGAAAAGAAACAATAACAGTTATTTTTTCTTTTCTTTTTTCTTCCCCCCCCCCCCTTTTTTTTTGATAAAAGTTAAGATAAAATGCTTACATTGACCACTAGATAAATAGACCCAGGTTTTGGGGCAATCTTTTAACTAAAAGGTTCTAGGCATACATTAATATATAGAATGCTAAATAACATTCCTTAATAGTAGGCACTGGTTTGTTTTTGGCTGTTTGGGCCAATATTTTAGCATAGTATCAAACATTTTCTTGTAGTCTGTTGCATTCAATCATGTTAATGACAGGTGAGCTAAAGGTCTGTGTCTTAGATAACAAATCTTGAGATTTTATGAAGCCTCCAGAGAGAGGCTGAATTGCAGTTGCTGTTATTGCTCACATTGGCCAGGGCAGATGGAAGTTCATTCCAACAATATCTGGAGGGCCACATATTCATAGCCTGTTTTATTTGATGACAGTTGCTTCTATAGAGCTAAATCTATTTTAGTTCCACCTAAAGTAAATGTATTGAAATTAGGATGACTTTTAAGCTATACTGCCATGGGTTCTTGCTCTTACTGAAAGATGGAATACTTATCCGGTGCCCCATACAGACAGATTTCAAGGGGATGTTTTCTGGGATACTATAAAAGATGGGAATAACTAGAAAATGCTTAGGAACATAGGACACAATGAGTTAAATCAGGGGTCCTCAAACTAAGGCCCGGGAGCCAAATACGGCCCTCCAAGGTAATTTATCCGGCCCTCTCTCAGGGTCAACCTAAGTCTGAAACAACTTGAACACACACAACAACAATGCTATCTCATCAGCCATAAGCAGGCCCACACTTCCCATTGAAATATTCTTAAGCTTATATTTGTTAAAATTATTCTTCATTTTAATTATTGTATTGTTTTTAAGTGTTCTTTGCACTACAAATAAGATATGTGCAGTGTGCATAGGAATTCATTCATGTTTTTTTCAAATTATAATCCTGCCCTCCAACAGTTTGAGAGACTTTGATGTGGCCCTCTGTTTAAAAAGTTTGAGAACCCCTGAGTTAAATTGTTTATCCATTTTGGCCTAGATTTCAGAACTAGCATTGTCCATTTCAGTCAGCAGCCATTCATTTGGGCACCTGGCAGAGATCTTTACTAGCTATCTGATCCTTTTAACTAGTGATTGAATTTAGCATCTGTCTCTTCTTCAATACCAGAGTAACTGCTGCTGTCAAATAGAAGACTTTAAACAAGTCTTCCTAGGGCATGATCACTAGCTAATTTTTTAAAATGCTTACTTAGACAATCAGGCCTGAAATGGCATTTATGTTCCCTGCAGTCGACTTCTAAACATATATAATAGGTGAACTTATGCAACCTTTCAGGTGTGAGTAAACTTCCTATTATGTTTTAAGCCATCCTTTCTATGTTGAGCAAGAGCCTTATTTGTTTAGCACAATGCCAAAAAACCTTAATTTTTTAGTGTGAAGAGATACGTATTTTTTCTCAAAATATTTTAGGAATTTGTGTTTTTCTCTATTTGGCACACTGTGTTGAGAATGGTGATAGCTTACAATTTGAACCTTTAAAATGGAATTTTGCCACAAACATTTACCATGATATGAAAATAGATGTATTCCTCCAATGTCCTTAACTGAAAAGTGATAAGCGGCCAAATAACAGAATGGTACAATATGTTTATGCTTTGTTCTGAAGTTGCATTTGCTCTCTAATACAGTTTCCTTTTAAAACCTATTTAAGTGTTTGTAGTTGGGTGCCTAAGATTTTGTAATCCACACAACTTGTTTATCAGCTTTCCAAAGTCATGTGTTACTTTTACTTACTTCTTCTACTACTTTAGTACAAAAGTGTTACAGGATTCAACCTTACAGAGTTCTAGAAAGGTGTGTTCAGTGATAAATGAATGCTTATGCAATAATGTCTGGAATTGGACATGTTTGTCTATTTAAGCATGCTTCAGTTGGAAACAGTCCACCTTGTCCGCACAAAGTTTTGTTCTGTTCCTAATTGTTTTATGGAAGCAAAAGTATTCACTCCTCACTTGCATAAAAGTATCATAGCCTCCAAAATACTTTTCATTTGTACTATTTGTAGGATGATGTCACAGGCATTTCAGATCTTTTAAAGAAACATAACATATTTTAAATTGTTAGAATTTTCTTGCTTGTTTGCATGCTGCAAGTCGCTTCTGGTTGCTTCTGGAGTGGTTAGGATGATAAGAAATACTACCTTTGGGGTTTAATTACAAATGATGAAATAATTACCTGAAATGCAGAGAGTCCTTGAGTTACAAACATTCAACTTATAAATGACTCATAGTTCATAATGGGAGTGAGACAACAGGAAATGAGAGAAATCTACCCCTAAGAAGAAAGTTCACTCCTGAAAGAGTTATAGGGAAGACTTGTCTCCAGTTAAGCTTTATCACCAATCCTTGTTTCCACAGCAAGCCATTTTTATGTCCAATTGTCACAGGGACAGAAAGTGAGGTAGAATCTTCTGAACAGGGGCACAGCAAAACCACTCACACAGAGGTGTTAACCCTTCCTTTTGCTATCCAAGGCTAATATATTCTTTTAACTGGAATTACACTTAAGAAATATACCTGTTTGGGCTTACAAATGAATTCCATTTCAGAACAAACATAGAGCCTATCTTGTTTGTAACTTGGGGACTGCCTGTATACATAAGATTATCAAGCCCTATCTGGGTCCTTTGGGGAAGTCACCCCTACTCATCACACTATAGTAGCTAAATTTTAAATGGATAGTGAAATTTGTAGTAGAATTTCTTTTTTTGATCCTAAATACCAAATGTTAAAGGAAGCTAATGGGTGAAGTGACATGAAGATGCAACATCATCATCATTATTTATACCCTGCTTTATCTCCCCAAATGGGATTCAAAGCAACTTGACATAAAAGCATTAGTATACAATTTAAAATATACAAACAGTAAAACAGAATTAAACACAAACAGCACTAAACATTCACAGTTAAAATCCACTGAAAACATGCGAAGTTAAAAAAAACACCACACCCCCTGACTAGATCTTAATTGCTTTTCTTTTAAGGTACGGTGGAAACTCTGAAATTAACAAAAATAGTTAAATATTGTAGGTGGTTTTGAGTTAAATTGTTCTAGGGTGTAATGAAGCAGAAATCAAAACACTTAACAGGCACGAATTACCATCTAATATTGACTGTACTGTGTCTATATTAATTCAGTAATCTGCTCTTCATCTAGGATTATCAAATCATCTTACAACAATTTATATTAATAACACAAGTCCAGTCTAAGACATTGTGTTTCTTGAGTGTGTCTGTAGCACTCTGTTGTCACCCATAACAAAAGATGCACTTTATGGTATAATGGATTTGCCTAATTGTAGCTATTATATGAGAGCTTGTTTTGACAAGTGAATTACCTGGCTTAACATTTCCTAGACAGGTATAAAGCACGTTAGTAAACATTTCATACTATCCATAAACTATATCATCTCTAGTCACACAGAAAATAAATCAGAATTGAATAAAAATCTGATTTCATCAGAACTTGAATACGAATTGAATCAGAATAAAATCAGTAAAAAAAAAGGAATGCCTCGGGTCAAAAAAGTGCTTGAACATGTTCTTCAAGAGCAATCTGAAAAGTCTTGAGGAAAAAAGTTGAATTTTGCAGGGAAAAGATAGTGTAGATATCAGGAAAACTACTTTAGAAAAGGTATTCTATAGCTGGGATACTACCACTGAAAAGTCTTCATTGACACTTGAAAATTTCCACTTGGCCTGGTTTTATGACTGCTGTTATAAGAACCAGTCAATGAAATCATGCCATCACCAAGAAGTATCATTCCCTGAAGCACGCACTTGTTCCAGTTTCTCAAAAGAAAAATATTTTAAGTTACTGTAAATGAACTGTATGAACGATGTGTAATAAAAAGTAATTGTAGAGTTTTGTGACTACTGTTCCTTTCATTGATTTCAAAGTAAAAGCTATAAAGAGTCTAAGAAGTTTAGCTTGGCTGAAATGTAAATGTATTTCACATTACTTCTACTCTTCTCCCTGCTTCCCAGCATCTCCACAGTTACAACTTTGCAATCCCTGAAAAGGAAAGAAGTTTTCTTTCAACATACTGATATATGTTCACGTTATCTATACATTTTGTGCAAATTGTTGACCACAACTGTGACTGTATTGTTTCCAGAGTTAACAGTAAAATGGCATTAAAAATGTTTATCAGTTGTATTTGCATTGGGTATTTCATCATGTTCACTCATGCGTTTTCTCAATGTAATTTATTTTCTTCCTTGTAGCTTTTTTGTTTGTTCAGTACTGTGATAGCATCATATTCTTTACCAGAGCAATGATATTTAAAGTCATATTTTATCAAAATACCAGTGTTGTATGTATTGTAGTTGCACAAATTACTTTTCTAAACTAAGCCAAATATCTCTGATTCCCAAGCTGTTTCCAATAATTACAATTTTCAAAAATAATTTTTAGGTGAAAATTAAAGGAGATAGTAATCTCATACTATTCTGTTTTCGGAAATATTTTTAAATCAAACCCTTAAAGCATTGGCTGCTTAGAGAGTACAGTTTATCCACAAGTAGCTGAAAGTAAGTCCCATTGAAAATTGAATTTACATCTAAGTAGACATTGCAGCAGGAGTTGGCAACTGTAAAGAGGTGGAACCATTTCTCAATTACACATTTCCTGCAGAGGCTGCTCCAGTGCTGTGGACATAACTGGAAGTGATATGTCACTTCTGGTTTTGTTTTTGGTGTTTTGCAGTTTGGCAGATTGACAGCATATAAATCAAAATAATGTTGACAAAAATGGCTTCGATAAACTGAATCAACATATACATGGGTTAGTGCTGGAAATAGATGACAACAATTCCATTAGGAAAGCTAAATATCATTTGTGTTGTGTTGGGAGCCGGGAAGCGATTATCTATATAAATAAAAATGTAATGCTCGTTTGTGGGATTAACAGAACT